TAAAATTTCCGACAACCACATTTCGCTCCAGAATTACGGAAAATACACGTAATTTTTATTGAATATTTCTCTCAGTGTAAGGTTTCCATTTCAATGTTATTGATTTCTCAGTGGAAAATTTGAAGAAACTTGATTTAGTGAGGAATTATTTTATTCAGGGGGAAAGCACATTCTGTTTTCCCTTCCTGAGTGATGGGAAAACGGTTATCCCGGAAGTGCTCTAATTACGTTGGCAGCAGAGCATTTTATGTAAGCAACTATGTTTGAAAAAGCAATCAAGTAACAATTAACCATCGACTTTGATAAAAATAACTCTGTACTGAAGTGATGAAATATTTAATAAACTCTACCATGAGGTTTTCCCACATATCAGTAGAAAATTAATAATTTTTCATTTATCATGGTAAACATCACCTTTTATGATTCACCACTAATTTTATATCTAGAACTCGTCGGAAAATATAGTTTTATAGTAGAGGTTTCCTGTCATTAAACACTCATTTAATACACCCTGCAAATAACTATCAGAAGCTCGTCTCGGTGGTGCACTTCAGTCCGTTAATTTTTTCTCCATCTGGCTAAATTGAACAATTGGAACAATTTTACGATAGAATTGTAGACGAAACCCAACTAATTAACAACATACCAACTGTTCGTAGACGGCACACAAGAATTTATCAGTTTTGGGGTGGAGAATGTACATCGAGGTTGCATGCAGGAATTCAATACCCCTACTAAAGCGCAACAGAGTATCTGTGAAAAAAAAACACCAGACGGTCTAAAAATATAAAAATAATATCGAAAAGTTGGTTGGACAACATCGTAGGAAATAGATAGAGCAATCAGGGATTTTTGCTGAGCCGAATCGGTCATGACCAAATATATTTAACAACGCTTCATAACTGCGAAATACGAAATCGGAATAAATGAGAGGTTCTTTCGAGAGAGTCGAGTTTTCGCTTTATGTAATGGCAGACGGAATAGTGGATATAACTGTATTCAAATTTTCCAAATGAACGAGCCGGCGAACGATGTTTCTTCTTCCGGCACAGGAGATTTTCCCTCTCCATCGCCAATTCGGCATTTCGGAATGCAATATGGAGCACCCGGAAAAACTCACCAGAGTTATGGAACTATTCAAGCGTGGAGTTATAAGTATGTTCCGGAATAGAATTTTAAAAAATTTCGTGATGAAACAATTTTTTCCTCTGGGTTTCCGTTCCTCCAACTTTTCGGTGTGAAAAAATTGTCGGAATTTTTGTTTTTTATATGGCTTTTCAAATTCCCCACAGCGTAATGCAGCAGTTTCACGTTTTTATCAATCCCAGTGGTTCCTCAATTGTGCAATTCACTCTTATGAATTGGTTAACTGTATTGATTCTGACGCTATGAACGAATATATTTGATAAATGATCAAAATTGAACGATTTTCCGATTTTCCAACCCGAATCTCGAACTGTTTGCCCGGTGAAAGAATATCCTGAGTGGAAAATTAGCTCGTGTCTGGATCAAGTTCGGATCAAGTCAGACTTGATGTTGGGTACTATCCTACAACTTGATCAGGACTTGATCAAGCATGTAACGCCCTGACTCGATCCAGATTTGATCAGGCGTGCCGAATCACGGTTTTATCAAACAAAACGGATTAGTACTTCATAACCGAAATTAAAGATATTTATCAATGATAATGATTTGAAAATAAAAAATTCCTCATTTTTTCACATTCGATTACCTCTATCAAAGGATACCTACTATAATTAATGCTGAAAAAACCTAATTATTTTTGTCGACACTGGGGATTGAATTGGATCCTTAGGAGTACTAATCCTCTGCCCTATCCAGACTATCGCGTTATTATTATTGAGTGAACTGTTTTGCTTACACGATGTATATTGGGGATATTGGCTCACTTTAAGAAGCGAAAATTTAGTCAATTTAAATTTCATCTATTATACTTTTAATAATAATAATAATAATAATAAGTTAATAATTAAATTATTTAGTTGAAGCTCACCTAATCCGAACTTGATCCGAATAATTACTGGGACAGCACAACTTCAGGTCAGGTTGATCTGATCAGAATCTGATTCGAATAGTTGCAGGCGGGTGGATCACAGTTCAAGTTCAGGTCCACCTGATCCGAACGTGATCAAAATGATCACAGATGAGCGCACCTCAAGTTCAGATCAAGCTTACCATATCAGAACCTGATCAGAGTAGGACGGATCAAGATGGGTCAATCGAAGATTGATCAGTTTCTTATCAAATTCTGCCTGATCAGTCGACACTGACCTCCGCCATATCAAGTTGTGATCAAACCTCAGGCTCGCCTGACATAATTTCCACTCGGGATAATGACGAGGCAATAAACAATTTAATTTCTTCAGTGAATCGTTTAATCATGAAATGGATGAGATTATCAGGCGGGACTAAGGAAATTAAGGGATTCTTCCGTTTTTTAGAGTGAGACTGAGTGTATTCTGTTTTACAATAATATTCATAAAATGGTTTCACAACTTGCATGAAAAGAATAAATCGGGCGAAATCAGGAATGAAGAAGGCTGTTATTAACGAGCTTATCACGGCCTGGTCTTCGAATATTCCTCTCAAATCCAACTCCAAGGAGCAATAAAGTGAAGCGAAAGTACCCCCATCCAGGGTTCCTCATCAGCTTTAATGATGAGATTTAATTTTTCTTGCCTATGCAAGCGCCATCTATACCTCATAATCTTGAAGCCTTATTTATACCCTTATTTACCTACGACCTCATTTCTGACTGAACTTTCTTTTGCCTCTTTTTCCTCTGAAGCAGCTCAATCCAGGATACTTCTGGCCTGAATCCCCGAATCTTCGGAGATTGCGTATAACCTTTGACGTAAAATCGACTCTTCAGGGTTTATAAGACAGATCTATACATCAGCGATTACATTTTCTTATATCGATGATTCTACGTTGATACACATCCCCTTCTACATTTTCCCATTTACTCTCTTCATTTTTATTTTTTTTTTTATTTGTCACAGCCAGTTGGCCGTTTCACTCTGTACCTGTTTTTCATTACACTCCAATTGAAAAAGTACTTTTATCGACTCAATGCATTTCACCTCTTGAATTGTACCCGGTCCTACCCTTTGTTCACCAGATCGGTGGATAAGACGACCAAAAAACGTTGTAAAATAATGAAAAGGAAAAATGCTCGTTGTACTGGGTGCGGCTTTATCAGAACTATAGAGCTTTTGAATAGAGACTGGCACTTATTTAATC